AAATGGATGGAACTAGAAACTGTTATACTAAGTGAAGTAACACAGACTCAGAAAAAAAATCGACGTATGTTTTCTCTCATATGTGGATCCTAGAACCAAACCCTGATAAATGAGTATGTATCCAGACATAACTACAGGAACCAGGATAATGGAAAGGGAAGTAAAGGAAAAGAAAGAACCTGAAAGAGAAGAACAGTAGGAAACAGGTGTTAATAAGGGAGAAATAAATAAAAATTGGGATAATTTAAGAGGGGGGAGAGAAGGGTATACAAGGAATCTAGGGGATAAAGGGAAAGAAGGAGCTCATGAGAGGTAGGACCGTAGGAGAAGGGTATTATTAAGGGAGAAAGGGAAAATGGGGGCACCTTAATTGGGGAAACCACGATGGAGGGGTGAGAATGCGAGAGATAAATAATGCCTAGCTAGATTTAAAAACCAGAGGGAACCATATTAGTCCAACACCCTACTGACAAACTATACATAGCAGATCAAGAAATGTATGTCTAGGTAAGGTTTATCTGAGAACAATTGGTCTTTGCCCAAGATTTATCTACATGACACAGAGTAATTAAAAGTACCAGACTGGTGGAACTAACCTTCTTGGGTGTTTAACAGCCTATAACAATTTGGTCAGAGGGACATAAAGGACACTTTTTGCTCCTTGCTCTCCTAGGTTGACAATTTCCAGGGGACTATGGGCATCTCTCAAAGTGTCCTGTAATTGTGGTGGGTCACCTGTCCTCTTGATCAAGGAGGCCGAGGAGACCCCACGAGATGAACATGAACCAGTGTCCAGTCTACAAAGAGGAGGGTCAACACAGAGGAATCATTTCCTCCATGCTTCCAAGTGAAGCCTGCCATGGTCAAGCAGAACCTTTGACTTATCTTCACATAGGTGGAACTGGTAAAAGAAAGGAGCCAGGGGCTCCTCCCAAGCCCATGTGACCACTGAGGAACAGATCCTCAAATGACCTTAAGAGTAAAAATAAATTGGTTTATCTGGGCCAACTGTATGACTCTAAACACCCAAAAGGAAAGTATAACCAAAGATTAAAAGTATAACCAAATATAATTTTTTAAGAGTCCATATGTATAGCTAAAGGCTACATAACAAGCAACAATGCCAGATAGGAGATACCTTCTTTTGAAGGGACTCCCAGAGAGTAACCCAGCATAGAAGTGGGAAAATAAACAGCAGACCCCAATCTTATCTAAAGGAATATTGACAACTGATTGCTGCTAGATGTGAACAGCTGACCTTCCTAAAACAAAGACCTCTATAAAGGCTCACTAGATTCACCAGATGGACATGTAGTGGGGAATGGCAGGGGGTGCCGAGAACACAGTGGATAGTAGCAGGGTTAACAGAGTATAAGGGCCCTAGTGGTGGGAGGGAGGCTATGGGAGGGTGCCATCTGGGAAGTGGGTGTATAGTTGAATAAGATGATTTGGGATGTTCTGTGTGATATACACACAGAAAAAAAAATCAACAAATTAAAAAATATATATTAAAGGAGGAAGCATAAAAGTTTATGTCATGTTAATTAGTAGAGGTGATGAACATTACCATTGAAATCTACCTGATGACTTCATAGACATACACAGGCACCAAGGACTCATGTGCAACCGATTATGACTAGTAATAATCATATACATACAGATTAGAGATGCATGCGCCAACATCTCAGAGTTAGTAGCAAAAACAATGAATCTTTCTGTAAAAAACAGTATATTTTAGAATGAAATAGAGATCTCTTTTGAGGGTTAAAAACTCATTCAATTTTATATATTACGGGGCTCATACTGAGTTTAATATTGTATTGTATTGATTCAACAGCAAACCTAGAAATTTTATAGCCACTTTTGAAGGAGCTTTGTCTTTGCTCTGGAAACTGTTATTGGGCATGTTAAATCTATAATGATATGCTTCTTCTAAAAAAAATAAAAAATATTTAAAAAATGAAGGAAACAGCATATCTTGAAATGGATATCTTCTTTAAAGGGTAAACACTCACTCAACTTTATATCTTACAGGGTTTATACTGAGTTCAATATTGTATAACTGTATTAATTCAACTGTGAACTTAAAAATATACAGCCACTTTTGAAAGAGATGTATCCTTGCTCTAGAATGTGTTACTGAATATGTTAAAGCTGTAATGAAATGCTTCTTCTAATCATGTCGTTATTAATTTTTTTAAATAAAAAATATAATTCTTCAATGCATAAAAATTTGCTCCTTAATAATTAGTAGATGTGAAAAGCATTAGCACTGAAATCTACCTGATGACTTTATATCCATGCTCAGATGCCAAGGAGCTCAGAAAGTAACCGACTGTGACTAGTAATAATCAGATATATAAAGATTAGAAATGCATGTGCAAACATCTTAGTGTCAATTGCATTAAAAATGAATTTTTCTGTATGAAACTGTGTGTTTTGACAACGAAGTGGAGATCTTTTTTAAACGTTGGAACCTCATTTAATTTTATATCTTAAAGGGTTTATACTGAGTACAATATTGTATAACTGTAATAATTCAACTGTAAACCTAAAAATTTACAGTCAATCTTTAAACAGATGCATCTTAGCTCTGGAAATTGTTATTGAATATGTCAATGCTGTTGTCATGAAATGCCTCTTCTAATTATATGGTCTCCCTGTAGCCCCCAGCTGGCCTATGTAGACCAGGCTGGCCTCAAACTCACAAAGATACACCTGCTTCTGCTTCCCAAATTATGGAATTAAAGGCGTGCGCCACCACGCCCGGCCCTATGTCTTTTTTGAGACCTGGGTTTTGGGGTGTCTCTTATGTTTGACTATTGGGTTGGATAACTTTAGTTGTCAACTTTACATACCTGGGAAGAGGGTACCTCAACAGGGAATTGCTTCTATTGGACTGGCCTTGCAGGTACGTCTATGGGGTATTTTCGTGATTGTTGGGTGATACTAGAGGGCCCAGCCCACTGCAGCTGGTGCCATCCCTGGGCAGGTGGTCCTGTGTTATATGACAGTAGGCTGAGCATGGGCTAGAGGAACAAGCCCTCCCTGGTCTGCCTCCAGGTTCCAGCCCTGAGTTCCTAAACTGACTTCCATCAATAATAAAAGACGTATTGAAAAATGTGATGAAAGATGTAAGATAAAATAAAACCTTTCCACCCTAAGTTGGTCTTGATCAGTACTTTTATCACAGAAATAAGAAACTAAGACAACTATGTAGAAGGTCCCTAGATATCAACATACTGATCACAATTTCCATGTTGACTTTGTAGATTAGGTATTATAGTGTAAATGTAAATGTCTTATCCAAATAATCCTCACATCAAATAAAGTATACTAACCACTTTACAACTTAAACATGAACAAAATGAATTTAATCAACAAGGCAAAAAATATACCTTTTCAGCTGAAGAACCTGTCAGGACAAAAGTTGAAAAAACAGGAAGTGGATATTTGGTTTGAGGATCCCAGCATTCAATAGTGGCTCCCATTGGAAGGCAGAAGAGAGGTACAGACTCTGACAGCGGAAAAGACTCGTAGTCCTCTTCTGGGTATCGAAAAATTAAACCTTTCACAGAAAGCATAACATTTAAAGCCATTTTTATATAAATTATTCATGATATATACTAATAGGACATTTTAATTTTCCTAGAAATATTTATGTGAAATTTCAAAATTTTTCTCTTGCTATAAGAGAAATTAAGATAAGCAAATATATCCTTTGTATGTTACCCCAAATTTACAGTTAATTATAAGATGGAAATGTATTAAAAACACTAGCTAAGAATGATTTCAGGTAATCTTGATCATCAACCTTAAAATACATACATTTTCTAAATATGGCAACAACTTGTGGAGAATGGTAAGAAAGATAAAGGAAAATTCACCAACTATTTCAGCTAGTCTTTGGAAAAAAAATTCAGAGAAGGAATAAATGTTATAAAAAATATTGCCAAGGCAAGAGAAATTAATGTAGCCCTTACACCCATGTTGAGAGAGGCAATGTTAAAGGCCTTCAACATGACCCCCAGACTAACTAGACTGTGCGAGGCCAGAAGAGGAGCAGGTAGCAGTGCTCTGAGAACCAGAACAATGCCCTTCAGAACAAAGGACCTGCATAGCATCCCTTAGCCTCCAATGTCACCATACATAACCACTTCCAAGATAAACACTTCAAAGTAGGATTTTGAGGCCAAATTCAGCCTCCAAACTGTATTCTAAAACTAAGTGTCACATAATAAATATCTAAATACTTGTACAAACCTTCTCTCTGCAAATTTTTGGGGGGTTGGCATTTGGTTTTTGTTGATATGGTCTCCCTTCCAAAGAAAGGCCTTTAGAGTATCATGTATAATCAACACATTAGAGCAATATTAACATAAAATTATACTAAATTTTATATTGTTGCTATTTATGTTAAATGGTTTAATTCATTACTATGAATAACTGTCTTATTTATTTTTTGTTTGTTTGAGACAGGGTCTCACTATGTAGTTCTGGCCAGCCTGGAATTCAATATGTACACGAGGCTGACCTTGAATTCTCAGAGACCTGTCCACCTCTGCCTCCCGAGTGCTAGGATTAAAGGCATGTGCCACCACCCCTGGCTTGTATGAATTTTATGAGAACGATCAAATTTCATTTCAAAACTTGCATAAGCAAAAAGTTGTTGGCATTGCTTCTTTTCACAAAGAAGTACTTCGGTATCTTCTACTCACAACTAGAGCATACCTGTATTTTCAGATTTTATCCCACCATACCAGTGGAATGAAGAGGTCACACTTAACTCTTTACAGCCCTGGACACTTTAGTGTGCAGTTAGAGTGTGGCGATAGATTTCCCAAAAACTTCTTGGCAGAAAAGTCTCTCAGGCCCTCCTCTCCTCCATATAGCTGATTCTTTGCAACAAGGGAGAGAGGAAGCAAGTCCACCTTTCATGGCAAGTAACATGTGGTTTCAAATCAGACACACAAAGATAAGAGAAGGAGATATAAGAAGCAAAGATGCAGTTTGACACCTTTATGATTGCCAAAGTATAAAAAGATCAGAAGCCAAGCAGTTTTCCACTGAATTATTAAGTCTATTAGTGTTGACCAAAAGCTCGATGTTTAGTCCTCATACACTTGCTCAGACAAAAGTTTAAATTTAACACCATAGTCTGGAAGCTATTACTCTATAGTATACACTGCATTTAAGAAAACTTAGGGTAAATATGTTAAAATTACACATCATCTATGAATAAATCAATTCCACAAAGTATATAAAAGAACATATTTTGTCTCTCCTAGTCAACCTAATGCTAACACTCACCAGTAACTATAGTAATTGGGACAAATCTTTAATTCACTTACCAGCCTTATATGCTATTGCATTTGAAGTAGGCACAGATTTCTTGTAACACAGAAACACACTGGAACCCCACTGTAAAAGATAAATTTAGTTTTTTAAAAACAAAAAAAGTAGAAAAAAAAAGAACTGACGTCTTTGAATGTGTCTACAGATTTTGATTATTTATTCAGGAAAGTCTATTAAAAACTCATACTGATGCCATTCATGGTGGCCCACATCTTTAGTTCTAGTACTTGGGAGGCAGAGGCAAGTGAATCTCTCTGAGATAAAGGCCAGCCTGGTCTACATAGCAAATTGCAAGCCAGGTGGGATTACAGGAAGACCCTGTCTCAAAATATCCCAAAACAAAACAATCTAACAAAATCCCTCATATTTGGACTGGAGAGATGGCTCAGCTGTTAAGAGCGTGTATTGCTGTTACAGAGGACCAGAATTAAATTCTCAGCACCCACACCAAGCAACTCACAACTGCCAGGGGATCCAACGCCTCTGGACTCCACAGGCACCAGCATTCAAGGCACCAGCACTCACATGCACAGACACATGCACATATGCATAATTAAAAATAAAATAAACCATTAAGAAATAGAATGTGGGCGTGGTGGCACGGCCCTTTAATCACAGTCCTCGGGAGGCAGAGGCAGGTGGGTCTCTGTGAGATGGAGGCCACCCTGGTTCACTTCTAGGTGGGCTGTAACTAGGGAGACCCTGTCAAAAAACAATCAACAAACAAGAAGAAAAAAAAACAAAAAAAGGACAGATTAAAAAAAAAAAAAAAACTTGTATTATCCAGCAGTGGTGACACATGCCTGTAATCCCTAGCACTCAGGAAGAAGAAGCAGAGGGTGGTATACCTCACCCTGGATTACACAGCAAGGCCCTGCCTTAAAAAACGGTGAAGTATTGGGTCTGGAGAGATAGCTCAGCAGTTAAGAGCACTGATTACTCTTGCAGAGGACCCAGGATCGATTCCCAGCACCACATAGAGGCTAACAACCATCAGTAAATCCAGTTCCAGGGGATCTGACGCCCTCTTCTGACCTCCACAGGCATTACATGACACAGGTGCACTTACACACATGCAGGCAATACACTCGTACACCTAAGATAAAAATGTTTTAAAAACACTATAAATCAAATTTTCTTCTTTACAGTGCTGTCTGCCTGCTTGCTTGCTTGCTGCTCGTCTGTTTGTTTTGAGACATGGTCTGCCTATGTAACCCAGATTGGCCTGGAGCTCCCTATATAGCCAAGGCTGGTTTTTAACTCATGAGTACTGGGATTACAGTCATGCCTGGGTTTCACTAGCTCTTTCAAAAAGTAAGTATGTAAAGCCATAACAGTTTAAATAAAAATAAGGGAAGTTCCCACCCAATCTACCTACAACTGTCCTTGAAGACACCATTGAAAGCTAAAGTTAATAAAAACCTCTATGTTGGTACAACACAGATAATATTAAGACACACATAGACACATACAAAATTCCTAACTTAAATTATGCTTTTTCTGGATTTTTAATTATTGATTTATTGTATAGCATCCGAATATCAAAAATTCTAACTTAGACATGTTTAGAGAGCTAAGGATACAGCTGAGTAATAGGCATGCTACAGCATGTGCAAGGCCCTGGGTTCGATGCCCAGCACCACAATATTTTTTAATTTAAAAATGGCGAGATAAAAATAAGAACCATGAACAAACTATGCACTTAATAGTAGATCCATTTGGCTATTTTTGAAGGGAAATTGAAAATAGGGCACCTTTTTCTTACCATGCCACAATTTAAATTCTTGTCAACTTTGCAGAAAGTATGAGGAGGGGTTTCCCCTTTGCTGGTTACAATAACACATATGTCAGTCACAGCTAAAGAATTCTGGGATCGAACTGGAGGAGCTCTTCGATACGTGATAAAGATTCTTTGGGAAGTCGTTGAACTGTTGTTGACATTAGCACAACGACCATAGGGCGTGGCTTGGATCACTTCGCATCCTGGAATAAGCCGTTCTTTCCCTTCATATAAAACTCTACAACAGCAGGGAAGAAGGGGAAGGAGAGATTCAAGGGAAGGAGAGAGATGGAGATTCAAGGTGTTAGTCAGGTTTTCTTTGTAAAACAAAACAAAATTTTGGCCACTCTTCCTGTTCCCCAAATTTTAATTATAAACCAAAATTAAAATTATTACTTTAGGAACTGTAAATCTCTAGATTATTTTTCAAAAGCAAGACCATTATTTAAGAAGCAAAAACTAGACTGAACAACTCAATTTTTTTATGCCAAGACATAGAAGAAAGAAATAGGTAACACTACAAACATCCTCACGTCAAGTTCTAAAATTGTATTAAGCATTCAGATGGTTTCACAGTTTGAAAGTTCAGGAAAGCCCAAGCAATCTGGAAAAAGAACTGAGTTGGAGGACCCATATTTCCCTACTTCAAAACAATCTGTGGGGGCAGGAAGAAGGGGAAAAAAAGAACAATTTGGTATCGACGTAAGAACTGACTTATAAATCAATGGATCAGAATAGAAGAGTCCAAAATCAGGTCCTTATATTTACAGGTAACTGATTTTTATGAGCGTGCCAGGGCAATTCAACTGAAAGAAGAGTCATTTTAACAAATGGTATAACTGGACAACATACACTGGACCCTTCCTTACACTACCCACCCAAAAGAGTCCTAACTATCAAATAATTAAATGTAAGAACTGAAGCCATTAAAAGTCTTAGGGAAAAAAAAAAAAGGAATAAAACTTTGTGGCTCTGACTGATGATAAAGAGTGAGAGGCAAAAGATGGTCATGATGCTGTATTCTTATAATATGAGCAACTTGAGAACCTGAGGCAGAATTTTGAGTTTGAGGTCAGCCTGGGATACATGAAGCAAGCTCCAGACCAAATTAATGTACTGCTTGGATAACTACCAGTATCAAATAAGTTGTCATTTGATTAAAAAAAAAAAGTAAAATTCTATCTATACTTCATGTTCACCATAGAACTAACTCCCATTGATCACAGATCCAAATGTAAAGAATGAAACTACACTAATGCTAAAAGAAACACTGCAATCCTATGTCTCAAAGTCTAGAAGCAATAGAATAGAAAAATAAACTGCATTTTTGGAAAAAGAAAAAAAAATCTTAACCAAGAAAATGCCATTAGTCAAGTCAAAAGACCAGGTACAAACTAGGAAAAAATATTTGTTAACAGTTTATTTTAGAAGTTTGTCTTTTTAACACATAGAAAGCTCCTGGACTCAGTAGATACAGCTCAGTTGGTACAGTGCCTGCCTAGCATGCAGGAAGCCCTGGGTTCAGTGCCTAGCGCTACACAGAACTGCATGTGCTAGTGCACACCTATGATCTCAGCAACTGGAAGGCAGGAGAATCAAAAGTTCAAGGGCATCCTTAGCTACTTAGTGAGTTGAGGCCAGCCTGGGCTCTATGAGATCCTGTCTTAAATAAATAAAAACTACTCCAAAAGTTTCAAAAGTACCAGTATTTCCTTTTTCTGGGCATTCTATCCATCATGCTACAACACAACTATCCCACCATACCTTCTCACCACCATGATGTTCTGCTCAAGTGCATGGTTCCACTGAACATGGACTGAACCCTCTGAAACCATGAGCCAAAATAAATCTTTCCTCCTTTAAAATATTTTTTTCAGGGCTGGAGAGATAGCTCAAGGGTTAAGAGCACTGGCAACTCTTCCTGAGGATCCAGGTTTGATTCTCAGCACCCACATAGCAGCTAACTCTGGTTTCATGGTATCCAACATCCTCTTCTGACTTCTAAGACCTTCACATGACACAGATGTACCTACATACATGCAGGCAATACACTCATACACATTAAAAAAATCAAAATAAATAAAAATATTAAATATATGTATTTTTTTCCACCAGGAGTTAATAGCTGACACCTGTAATCCCAGCACTGGGAGACTGAAGTAGGAGAATCACTGCAAGTTCCAGCTAGCTGGAACTACAGAGCGAGTTCCAGGTCAACCTATGCTAGAGTAAGGCTCTGCCTTTAAAAAAAAAAAAATTTTCCAAGAAAAAGCTTGGCATAGTAGGCACACAAGCTTATAATCTCAGCCCTAACCAAAAATTAGAACTTCAAAAACAGCAAATAATACATCAGTAATAGAAAGTGGGGAAACACAAGAGCATCTTAACTGACATTCAGAAAACTAGAAAACTTCCTCAACATGAACAATGGAAGACTTTGAGGAAGAGTCAAGGTAACAAAGGACTAGAGAGAGAAAGAGGAGGCCATCTGGAATCACAAGAGGTGACAGGACAGCTCAACAGCACAGAGAAACAGAAAGGCTATACAGAGAACAGAAGTACCTGTAGCTCCAATGCCAGGCTCCACAGTGCTGGTGGTGAGAGCACAGCCCCAGCCCCAGGGTAAGCCAGGCAGCTCTACTGACAGATTGGCGATCCTACCCACAGGAGAAACCCAAGATCGCCCAAGCTTTTTTTTTTTTTCAGTATTTTATTATTTTTATTTTATGTGAATCCGTGTATTGCCTGCATGTAGGTAAGTGCACCCGTGTCATGCAATGCCCACGGAGGACAGAAGAGGCTGTCGGATCCTCTGGGACTGGAGTTACAGACAGTTGTTAGCTGCCATGTGGGTGCTGGGATTCAAACCTGGGTCTTCTGCAAGAACAGCCAGTGTTCTTAACCACTGAGCCATCTCTCGAGCCCCAGATCTCCCAAATCTTAAATGCAGTGGGGGATTCACTGTGACAAGGACCCCTCCTCCAAGGCAAGCAGCTTTGGGATGAAATCCATTTTGTTGCTGCCCATAACTCAAGAGTGTGACAGTCAGATGCCACCTAGAAAGGGGATCTATTCTTAGAGTTTGAACTACTCTGAGAACCTAAAGCAAGGAACCATGGATCTTTTTTTTTTTTTATGTGGATGTGTGCAGCTGGAAAGATGGCTCAGCAGTTAAGAGCACAGACTGCTCCTGCAGAGGACTTGAGTTCGATTCCCAGCACCTACATGGAGGCTATGAACCGTCCTTAACTGCAGCTCCAGAGGAACCCAATGCCCTCTTCTTGACCTCTGTGGCATTGCATGATACAGTGCACTCACTCATACACATAAAATAAAAAATAATAAATGAAATGTAGGTGTGAATACATACACATACACGCCATATGTGTGTGAATGCTCACAGAAGCCAGAAAAGGGCTTTTGATGCCCTGGAGCTGTAGTTCTGGGTAGTTGTTAAGCCACTTGACATGGGTGCTGGGGTATAAAGTCTGGAAGAGCATCAAGTGCTCCTAACTTTTGGGCTGTCTCTCCAGCTCTAGCAACCTTCAATCTTTTTTTTAAACTTAAAAATTTGTATATGTATAAATATTTGCATATAGGTTAAGTATACCTGTGTCATGCAATAACCATGGAGGCCAGAAGAGGGCATTGGAACTCCTGGAACTGGAGTTATGAATGGTTGTTAGCTGCCATGTGGGTAGAGGAACCATTGATCTTATCTCTGGATGTCTAGTGACACCCTGCCACTGGACAAACATGAGAGGTGGTTGTAGAGGAGGCAGCAAATGTGGCTTGCTGAGCAGTTTAAGGAGCTTGGGTTTCGGGGTACACAGATGCAGTGGCTCGCTTTCTGAGATGAGGATCACTGAGACAGTACTGGGGATTACATGACCTCTAGCACTGCTCTAGTCCTGCCCAGCTGTGGTCTGAGCCCAGGACTGACTGCGTTCAACTCCCTAGCCTACTCCCTCAAACATCGCAAACCAGAAAGAGCAAAAACAGGCAGAGTGCAAAGTTTCCTGGGGTTGACCAGTACAGAACTCGGGGGTCTCTTTACTTCCCAAACACTGCATAATTCTGGGAACACTCCTAGGCTTGGACATTTACCACCTTTGGAACTGAAGTCCACCCTGATTCCTACACACCCCTTACCTGGAAGATCCATATCAGAAGGTGCAGAAAAAAGTTTTTCTAATTCTTCATTATTTTAAAAAAACTTCTTGGGCAAGGCGTGGTGGTGCACGCCTTTAATCCCAACACTCAGGAGGCAGAGGCAGGCAGATCTCTGTGAGTTCAAGGCCAGCCTGGTCTACACAGTGAGTTCCAGGACAGCTGGGGCTACAGGGA